ACTAGCTTTATTCTTCTTTTAACTAATAATTGGCAACATTATAACCTATCCACGATTTTTATATAAAAAAAAAAGTGTTTTCTCACCAACATCAATTAAATATCAACTAAATTAACGTATGTTCCTCGGACTTTGCAAAAATATTACCAAGTATGCGTCTGATCCTCCAAAAATAGTGTATTTTTAAAAGATCCGACACGGATACGGTAACATTTTTGAAGAATTTATGCAACATAGAAATTAAAAATCCTATTTTAGTTCATGAGTTAATTGATAATATGTCTCAAACAGAAACTTAGAGGAGGATGTTAATTCTATTAATTTGACACTTGTCAATGTTCCTGTAAGAAGGCCAACTGAAATAAAATCTTTTGCACTCCACAGAACATAGTACTCACGCCAAACTGGAGGAATATATGCTGTGCTATTTGTACTATCCCTAATTTGTCTACATGTTGTCTTTCTATATATAAATCAATCATTACCACCACAAGCAGAAGAAGAACGAACAACAAAGTAACAAGCTAAGAGGGAAAGCAGCTAGAACTCAAAAGTATTCTTAGAGGGTGCATTAAAACCACCAGAGGACCATGGTTGGTTCACAAAACCACCAAAGACGGCAGCGTGGTGACAAGGTTCCGATATCCTTCCGATAGGGAGAGGCAGAAAAACAAGCAAAGAGAACAAAAGCGTAGGGCTGTCGCACACAAGATCTTTGCCGGACTGAGGGCTCATGGAAACTATAAGCTGCCCAAGCATGCTGACACGAATGATCTTCTCCTGGCTTTGTGTGATGAAGCTGGTTGGCATATTGAAGAAGATGGCACCATTTACAGGAAGGAGAAGGTCTACACTCTTTTGAATATTTCTCTGTCTGTGCATGAATTAATGCTTTCCCTATGAATTTTAAATCTTGCTATCTAATGTTCACATGGAACTCGGCTTCTATAAGCCGAAAAATATCAAAAACATAGGAAAATGCATAATTTTGAATTTGATATATTGTACTGGACTAGTATGTGTGTGCTTTAACTATTTTCATTCTCCTTTTGTTCTCATACATATCTCTAAGCTTCTAAGAGCATTTAAACATGCTACCATCGATCTAATATATATTCAAAATTATTGCTACGGTTTGATGTTTGAAGGATTTGAGCTTTAATGAAATTCAACTATTATATGGTGATTTTTGTGTTTGATCAATCTTGACAGAATCCGGTGAAGGACATGCCAAGATTGGTTGATGTAGATTCTGCTCAAGTCTCTTTAGAAGATCAAATTAAAGATTCTGACTACTGTAAGTGTGAAGATCAAGTTAAAAATGGAGACTACTGTAAATGTGATGTTGACATGAATGTGGCAGAAACTGAGATAGCTCGGTCACCCCATCCGCTGAAGTGTTCAATGTCAATTTGAACTTATCACTCTCTTCCTAACTATTTCTGTCGCAACAAAAATAGATTAAGTTCAGGGTAAAAGAAAATACGGATATGCTAGTCAGTATCAAGTAACTTTACAAGGAAACAACATTGTGATCAATGTGGTTATCTAAGTCAATTATAGGCATGCTTATATATTAAAATGTGCAAATTACAATATCAAATGAAGCTACTGCGAACTTTGTTAAAAAAAAAATGAAGGTGTGATTTTTATTAACTTAAATTTCTCACCGCTATGTTAGCTTTATATATCCTTAGTCTTAAGTTCGACATTTACCCATACAGTAATTCAAAGCAAGTTTATGTTTGGATCTACTATATGTTGTATAAATTAACTTGGTGATGTCAGATAACCCGCAGGACGGCTATAAATTTATAACTTAGCAACTCGTATTAGCTCAACTTGCACTTTTGAGTGACTCCAACAAATTAGTTTTAATGATAAAACAAACAGCAAACCTTTAGAACAATACTCATTTTGTGTTAATATGGTGGATTGAATTGCTCTGCATTGTTGATTTTCTCCTTTGATTTTTGGCTATTAGTTTGGATCAAGCTTTATAATGTTGCTTGTTTCAAACATGTGGGATGAGAAAACTCAAGTTTTATAGGTTTGATTTTCTGAAGGATTTGAATTCAAACTATAATACAGTTTGTATTTTGAAAAGCAAAGGGAGAATAAAATTGACTGATGACCAAGCCGCATATGGCCAGATATTGCTTCAAATTTTCATTCAAAATTACTACAAGTAATGAGCACAACTACTGAAATGGAACACGAAATAAGTGAAACTCTCTTCATTGGGCAATTGGTGCCCTCACTAATTTTTAATCACTTTGAACAACAAAAATCATTTCAGATGTACATTGTGCTCTATGCATAACTTTGATAGTTGTACGATCAGATATGTGTCGACCCGGCCAGTCGTCTCATGAGTTACCGCTTCGTTTTCCCCATTTCTGTTTCTTTATATTTTCTTATCCGTGTTTTATGGTATCGGGTTGGTCGGATCGAGTCCGGAATGATTTTGGTAAGGTTTGAGACATTTAGTCTCTTTTAAGGAAGTTTAAGTTGGAAAAGTCAACTGGATGTTGACTTATGTGTTAGAGGGCTCAGACGCGAGTTCCGATGGTTCGAGTAGCTTCGGGAGGTGATTTATGGCTTAGGAGTGTGATCGGAATGGGTTTTCGAGGGTTGGAGTAGTTTTAGGCTTGAATTGGCGAAGTTGATATTTTGGCGATTTCCGGTTGATAGGCGAGATTTTGATATAGGGGTCGGAATGGAATTCCGAGAGTTGAAGTAGCTCCTTTGTGTCGTTTGTAATGTGTGTGTAAAACTTCAGGTCATTCGGACGCGGTTTGGTTGGGTTTTTTATCAAAAGCAAAATTTGGAGGATTTTAGAAACTTAGGCTTGAATCCGAGGTGTTTTGGTTGATTTGATGATTGGAACAAGTTTGAATAAGGTATTGTGTTATGTTTGTGCTTTTGGTTGAGGTCCCAAGGGCTCAGAGTGATTTCGGATGGTTAACGGAGAAGTTGGAATTTTGTTGCAGCAGGTGAATTTGCTGCTTCTGGTATTGTCGCACTTGCGGATTGGGGACCGCATGTGCGGTGCCGCATGTACAGGTGATCTATCGCAGAAGCGAAAAAGGGCTAGATGAGCAGAGACCGCAGAAGCAGTACGGTGACCGCATCTGCGATGTCGCAGATGCGGAAGTTGGGTCGCAGATGCGATGTAGGCTGGGTAAATGAATTCCGTAGAAGCGGAGGATTTGACCGCATATGGGGTACCGCAGAAGCGGGTTTCGGACCGCAGATGCAAGTATCCCTGGGCAGAATGTATATAAGTCTTCCTTCGCGATTTTTGAAGGTTTTCACCATTTTTGAACAGGAATTCGGGAGCTTTGGGCGATTTTGAAGAGAGAAATCAAGGAGACTTCATAAAGGTAAGGATTTTGGATCTAAAACACATTTCTATGGTGGTATTTCATGAGTTAAGGCTGTAATTAAAGGAATTAAAGGGCTAAAAATGGAGGATTAAGGCTTGAGTATAAGAGGCATTTAAAGGAGGATTTGAAGGGCCATTTGGACTTCGATATTAGTGTTCTTGATATGCATAGACTCGTGGGGAGATGAATAATCTATTGATGTAAAAATTTCTGAATTTCGAGACGTGGGCCCGGGGGTCGGGTTTTGGTAATTTCGGGATTTGTGCCCTTTATTGATTGTTTTCGCTTGGGATTCGTTCCCTTAGCATATTTTGACGTCCTCATTCTGATTTTGGATAGATTCGACGCGCGTGGAGGCCGATTCGCGGGGCAAAGGCATCACGAGCTAGAGATTTAGCCGGTTCGAGGTGAGTAATGATTGTAAATGATGCTCTGAGGGTTTGAAACCCCGGATTGCACATCGTAGTGCTATGTTGAGGCGAGACACACGCTTGATGAAGAGCGTGGGGTCGTGCACTATTGGGGATTGTGACTTGGTCTGTCCTGGTTGATGATTTTACCGCGTATTTGACTGAAAACTAATTGCTATCATTATTATTTGGGTTGAATGCCATATTTGTGCTCCGTGCCAACTATTTGAACCCTTCGGGAATTTTTTTTACTATTTCCTCACTGTTTTACTATTTCCTCAATGATATTTTAAATGATGTTTGGGCTAACAAATACTGTTTTACTATTGCCCGAGAGGCTTGTGATGATTTTTGTCTGAGTAAGATTGGGGGCCTACATTGTGAGGAAACACTGATACTGATTTGAGGTCGAGGGCCTGAGATATGTACGCCACGAGGTGGCTTGATTGATATGAGGCCGAGGGCCTAGATTTGATGCCACGAGATGGCTTGTTATTGCGCTTGGGGCGTAAGGGGCCCCTCCAGGAGTCTACACACCCCCAGTGAGCGCGGGTACCCATTGTGATGTGAGATTGAGCCCGAGGGGCTGGTATTGTTCTGAGATGTTGCCCGAGGGGCAAACTTCTATTTGTTTACTTTACATTAATTACCTGTCAATTACTTGTTTACTTGTTGAAATAGAATTTTACTTGATTTTTCACTGGTTTACTGTTTTTAAATGATTTTACTGCTTCATTATCGAATGCCTTGTGCCCTACGTGTTTTCTTACTTTCAGTCGTTATTTATATTTGTTTCTCACTGAGTTGGAGTACTCACTTTACTCCATGTACCCCGTATGCAGATTCAGACGTAGCTGGTCTCGCTCCCGAGTGTTGATTCATTCTAGCTTCAGGCGGATCTCGAGGAGTCTTTAGGTAGCTGTTGGCGTTCGCAGCCTGGAGCTCCTCCCTATCTATTTCCTTTATGTTCTTAGTTCAGTATTTAAAACTCTGTAGTTACATTTGAGGATTCAGTATTGTTAGATGCTCGTGACTTGTGACACCTCGGTTAGGGCTGTGTCGGGTTGTATTTCCGCTACTTATTATCATTAAATCATGTTTTAGACTTCTTTTATATTGTTTAACTGCTTTAACAAATGAATTGGGTCTAGTTGGCTGGCCTTGTCTTCACGAGAGGCACCATCACGACCGGGTTCGGGTGTAGGGTCGTGACAAGATACAACAAGTCCTGTTGCAGATGTATGTAGTATTATCGGTCACACTCACATATTTGCACCAACTGCCACAAAATAGTACTCGTGGGTGCAGTAGTATTCTTCGCTTACTCATCGGGCTAAGCCTCCGTGTCAAAAAAATTGAAATAGCAGCTCATTCCATACATCAGACACCCCTGGCAAGCACCAGTGGATGCAATCCGAGTAACTTGCAGGGTTTGCTAATTCCTCAGGGGAGAGTATACCATAAAATTTGCGATAAATACTAGGATGGCCATCTTTCCTGTGTGCTGTAAGGCGAGTGATGTTGAGAACAGTGACCTTTGAGCTCAGCCTAGCTAGTACTTTTTCCATCATCAGCGTTGTGGGCAAGTCGAGGTTAGTTTCCCTGGTTTGGTTCTTTATTGGGAGCTTCTCGCCATAACAGTTTCCTCTTTTTCCTGGTTCCCATTCTTGTTTCCTGAATATACAGAGAAGCAAAAAGATGTAGCATAATTTCTTTCTGTATAGAAGATAAAATGAAAAAAAAGAACAAGAAATAAAGCTAACTAGGAAATCTTTTAGTTTGAATTTCCAGTAGAAAATTGAGCCATAATAATGTCATATTCAACGGAAACTATAAGACGCTTAGAAAGCATATATGCATTTCTATGTTCAGAACTGTGTGTGTGTTTCCCTGCTCCTCAATGTCTCATATGTTATGATCACACGAGAAACATCATGCTCAATACAAAGAAGTGATTATTGTTCGCCACAAGCATACTGTATACAGAATGGAAGCTAAAGGTTAATAAAGAATCCACCCTGAAAATTCTGAAACTTTTGTTTCAAATGAAATGTACTGGAAACTTGACCTCAACCTATGAGATGGATCGGATATGTATGAGCCAACATAAGTATATCTATACATTGGCAGAACTTATGAAGTCTTGTTTTTGTAATAGATCAATTCATTAACATACCATAAAGCCATTTTCTTGTTAACAAAATGACGCCAGACCCCTAATTGCAGCACACTCTACTGTGCAGAATCAGCTTTAAGTTTGATACTTACAATTAAGAGCTCTTTTCCCCTACTTACTGCATCAAAAACAGTATCACACTTTTCTTAAAAAAACAAGCAGTTCTAGTAAGATTTGTGGAGCGGACTCATAAATATCTGTACATTGGCAATGAAATAGAGAACTATATGTCTTCTGTGATGTAATTAGTTCACCACCAATGTTTAGGCATTTGGCAATCTGACTTGACAAACCTTAACAGGCACCATAGTAAACTGATAAGACTTCAAATGAAAAACTTTATATGTCAAAGTTCCTGATTTAGACCATTATAGATTCATGCATAAACTAACATTCAGCAATATAAAAGTTGGTCCTCACTTACAATAAATGTGTAGGAGACATCGTAACGAAAAAGACCTTCTTCATGGGATCAACATTGGATTCTACCCAATTGGCCCAGGCGTCCATGGCCAACTCCATGCCGCTCAATCCATCTATTTCTTCGCAAACTCCATTTTCTTCTGAGCTCCATCTAAGAAGGTAATGGAACTAATTAGATAGCAAATCCCTTGTACTGTATCAAATCTAAGATGTCAACTACTTGTTCGTCGAATATATTTGACTCTCTTTTCAACTGGAAAGATGAACTTAAGTTGCATATCTGAAGAAGCCATGATCTAATAATTCACACTTACAATAGCTTAACAGAGCCCTTTCTCCACCAAATATATGAATTAAAGACCAATATATCAGCATGAATCCAACGCGATGAATGCCTAAGATTTGAGTCAGGACGCAGTATTTTCTCAGGCAATCTGTGACCCATTGGCTCATCAGAATTTGATTCGACAAGAAATGGTGCCCAAAGGAACTCTATGCTGGCATTGTATTCCTGTAGTCAACACAAAAACACTCCAATTTAGCACCAGGTGTTAAACTTTCTTTATTATGAAACAAATGCAAAATCATCATTTAAAGTTTAATATCATTGATAGAATAACAGGTTATCTTTCCATATAATGTTTTAAGTTCACTTGACCTCTGCTCTAAAACTGGTGAGGTGATCTTGTTGTGTCATGAACTGCTTCTCAGCCGGAATAACAGATTGCATTAGACATACCATCGATAACCATTGTCCTCTATTCAGTGAATCGCCTACAAACATTAGTCTTTTCCCTCTTAATTTCTCCCACATTTCAGTCGAATTCCACCTATATACCGTACATTAACAAGTCAACAATGGTAACAAGAATTGCAACAATTTTTGAGACGATTTTGATGAAAGAAAAGAAGTCATATATAGCAAATACAAAGAAGACAAGATGGTCTAAAATATAAAGGGGAAACCTGATGATGTCCATCTCATTGAAGAAGTATTAGGCATGTGCCTAATAAGAGTTTTCTTTGGTTTGGTAGCCAACCTTGTTGACTTGGTTTGGTTGGTAGCCAACCTTGTTGAATTAGTTTGGTTTGGTAGCCAACCTTGTTGAATTTCTTTGGTTTGGTAGCCAACTTTGTTGAATTGTGAAAAGTGTGTGTAAATTGTCAAATATTGTAGGCTTTAGAGGGTGAAGCTTTGGCTATAAAAGGAGAGCTTCAACTCTCATTTCTACACACCAACAAAGAGAGAAAGAAAGAGTGAGGTTTCACAGACAAGGTATAAGAAAATAGTCTGTGAGGAAAATAGAGAGAGAGCGATATTGTAGTGAGGTGGGAATATCAAAAGAGGGTTATTTCTTTTGAGTGTTGTAGTGGTCTTTGGAGTATTTACCTCCGACCTACAAAGTGTAAAATTCCTTACTATAGTGATATCAGTTGCTCCTCTCGGGGTCGTGGTTTTTTTCCCCTAATCAGAAGGGTTTTCCACGTAAAAATTTTGGTGTCATTGTTACTCTTTTATTCTTGTTAATTACCGTATCTCGGTGCTACATTATTATTCCGCTTTATTACCGTGAATATTATTTTGGTAAGGGGTTTATTCCCAACAACTGGTATCAGAGCACAGGTTCTGCTCGTTCACTGAAATACTATTCACTGTCGGTAGTACTATACTTGGTGAAAAATAAAAATGTCCGGAGTAAAGTACGAGGTAGCAAAATTCAATGGAGATAACGGTTTCTCAACATGGCAAAGAAGGATGAGAGATCTGCTCATCCAACAAGGATTACACAAGGTTCTAGATGTTGATTCCAAAAAGCCTGATACCATGAAAGCTGAGGATTGGGCTGACTTGGATGAAAGAGCTGCTAGTGCAATTAGGTTGCACTTATCAGATGATGTGGTAAATAACATCATTGATGAAGACACTGCACGTGGAATTTGGACAAGGTTGGAAAGCCTATACATGTCCAAAACGCTGACAAATAAATTGTACCTGAAGAAGCAGTTATACGCCCTACACATGAGTGAAGGTACGAATTTTTTGTCACATTTAAATGTGTTTAACGGACTAATCACACAGCTTGCCAACCTCGGAGTGAAAATCGAGGAAGAAGATAAAGCCATCTTGCTATTGAACTCGTTGCCATCTTCGTACGATAATTTGGCAACAACCATCCTGCACGGTAAGACTACTATTGAGTTGAAAGATGTCACATCGGCTCTTCTACTCAATGAGAAGATGAGAAAGAAGCCTGAAAATCAAGGACAGGCTCTCATCACAGAAGGTAGAGGCAGGAGTTATCAAAGGAGTTCGAACAACTATGGTAGATCCGGAGCTCGTGGGAAGTCAAAGAACCGATCCAAATCAAGAGTCAGAAATTGCTACAACTGTAATCAACCAGGTCACTTCAAAAGAGATTGCCCAAATCCAAGGAAGGGCAAAGGTGAAACCAGTGGCCAGAAGAATGACGACAACACAGCCGCCATGGTGCAAAATAATGATAATGTTGTCCTCTTTATAAATGAGGAAGAGGAATGCATGCACCTGTCAGGTCCAGAGTCGGAATGGGTGGTTGACACAGCGGCATCTCACCATGCCACACCGGTAAGAGATCTTTTTTGCAGATATGTAGCAGGTGATTTCGGCACAGTGAAAATGGGTAACACAAGTTACTCAAAGATTGCGGGGATTGGTGACATTTGTATCAAGACAAATGTCGGATGCACATTGGTTCTAAAGGATGTGCGGCATGTACCTGATTTGCGGATGAACTTGATCTCGGGAATTGCTTTAGACCGAGATGGATACGAGAGTTATTTTGCAAATCAAAAGTGGAGACTCACTAAGGGATCATTGGTGATTGCAAAGGGAGTTGCTCGTGGCACGTTGTACAGGACAAATGCAGAAATATGCCAAGGTGAATTGAACGCGGCACAAGATGAGATTTCTGTAGATTTATGGCACAAAAGAATGGGTCATATGAGCGAGAAGGGATTGCAGATTCTTGCCAAGAAATCACTCATTTCTTATGCCAAAGGTACAACTGTAAAACCTTGTGACTACTGTTTATTTGGTAAGCAGCATAGAGTCTCATTTCAGACATCGTCTGAAAGAAAATTGAATATACTTGATTTAGTATATTCTGATGTTTGCGGCCCAATGGAAATTGAATCAATGGGCGGTAACAAATATTTTGTTACTTTTATTGATGATGCTTCACGAAAATTATGGGTTTATATTTTGAAAACCAAAGATCAGGTGTTTCAAGTTTTCCAGAAGTTTCATGCTCTAGTAGAAAGGGAGACGGGTCGAAAGCTAAAGCGTCTCCGAAGTGACAATGGAGGTGAGTACACTTCAAGGGAATTTGAAGAGTATTGTTCAAGTCATGGGATCAGACATGAAAAGACAGTTCCTGGAACCCCACAGCACAATGGCGTAGCCGAGAGGATGAACCGCACCATTGTGGAGAAGGTGAGAAGCATGCTCAGAATGGCTAAACTGCCTAAGTCATTCTGGGGTGAAGCAGTTCAGACAGCCTGTTACCTGATCAATAGGAGTCCATCAGTTCCGTTGGCGTTTGAAATCCCAGAGAGAGTCTGGACCAACAAGGAGGTGTCCTACTCGCATCTGAAGGTGTTCGGTTGCAGAGCTTTTGCACATGTACCAAAAGAGCAGAGAACAAAGCTGGATGATAAATCTATTCCCTGCATATTTATCGGATATGGAGATGAAGAGTTCGGGTACAGACTGTGGGATCCTGTAAAGAAGAAGGTCATCAGAAGTAGAGATGTAGTCTTCCGAGAAAGTGAAGTTGGAACTGCTGCTGATATGTCAGAAAAGGCGAAGAATGGTATAATTCCTAACTTTGTTACTATTCCTTCTACTTCTAACAATCCCACAAGTGCAGAAAGTACGACCGACGAGGTTGCCGAGCAGGGGGAGCAACCTGGTGAGGTTATTGAGCAGGGGGAGCAACTTGATGAAGGTGTCGAGGAAGTGGAGCACCCCACTCAGGGAGAAGAACAACCTCAACCTCTGAGGAGATCAGAGAGGCCAAGGGTAGAGTCACGCAGGTACCCTTCCACAGAGTATGTCCTCATCAGTGATGAGGGGGAGCCAGAAAGTCTTAAGGAGGTGTTGTCCCATCCAGAAAAGAACCAGTGGATGAAAGCTATGCAAGAAGAGATGGAATCTCTCCAGAAAAATGGCACATACAAGCTGGTTGAACTTCCAAAGGGTAAAAGACCACTCAAATGCAAATGGGTCTTTAAACTCAAGAAAGATGGAGATGGCAAGCTGGTCAGATACAAAGCTCGATTGGTGGTTAAAGGCTTCGAACAGAAGAAAGGTATTGATTTTGACGAAATTTTCTCCCCCGTTGTTAAAATGACTTCTATTCGAACAATTTTGAGCTTAGCAGCTAGCCTAGATCTTGAAGTGGAGCAGTTGGATGTGAAAACTGCATTTCTTCATGGAGATTTGGAAGAGGAGATTTATATGGAGCAACCAGAAGGATTTGAAGTAGCTGGAAAGAAACACATGGTGTGCAAATTGAATAAGAGTCTTTATGGATTGAAGCAGGCACCAAGGCAGTGGTACATGAAGTTTGATTCATTCATGAAAAGTCAAACATACCTAAAGACCTATTCTGATCCATGTGTATACTTCAAAAGATTTTCTGAGAATAACTTTATTATATTGTTGTTGTATGTGGATGACATGTTAATTGTAGGAAAAGACAAGGGGTTGATAGCAAAGTTGAAAGGAGATCTGTCCAAGTCATTTGATATGAAGGACTTGGGCCCAGCACAACAAATTCTAGGGATGAAGATAGTTCGAGAGAGAACAAGTAGAAAGTTGTGGCTATCTCAGGAGAAGTACATTGAACGTGTACTAGAACGCTTCAACATGAAGAATGCTAAGCCAGTCAGCACACCTCTTGCTGGTCATCTAAAGTTGAGTAAGAAGATGTGTCCTACAACAGTGGAGGAGAAAGGGAACATGGCTAAAGTTCCTTATTCTTCAGCAGTCGGAAGCTTGATGTATGCAATGGTATGTACTAGACCTGATATTGCTCACGCAGTTGGTGTTGTCAGCAGGTTTCTTGAAAATCCTGGAAAGGAACATTGGGAAGCAGTCAAGTGGATACTCAGGTACCTGAGAGGTACCACGGGAGATTGTTTGTGCTTTGGAGGATCTGATCCAATCTTGAAGGGCTATACAGATGCTGATATGGCAGGTGACATTGACAACAGAAAATCTACTACTGGATATTTGTTTACATTTTCAGGGGGAGCTATATCATGGCAGTCTAAGTTGCAGAAGTGCGTTGCACTTTCAACAACTGAAGCAGAGTACATTGCCGCTACAGAAACTGGCAAGGAGATGATATGGCTCAAGCGATTCCTTCAAGAGCTTGGATTGCATCAGAAGGAGTATGTCGTCTATTGTGACAGTCAAAGTGCAATAGACCTTAGCAAGAACTCTATGTACCATGCAAGGACCAAACACATTGATGTGAGATATCATTGGATTCGAGAAATGGTAGATGATGAATCTCTAAAAGTCTTGAAGATTTCTACAAATGAGAATCCCGCAGATATGCTGACCAAGGTGGTACCAAGGAACAAGTTCGAGCTATGCAAAGAACTTGTCGGCATGCACTCAAACTAGAAGACAGTGCTACCTCCTCTAGATGAATGAGACTGGAGGGGGAGATTGATGATGTCCATCTCATTGAAGAAGTATTAGGCATGTGCCTAATAAGAGTTTTCTTTGGTTTGGTAGCCAACCTTGTTGACTTGGTTTGGTTGGTAGCCAACCTTGTTGAATTAGTTTGGTTTGGTAGCCAACTTTGTTGAATTGTGAAAAGTGTGTGTAAATTGTCAAATATTGTAGGCTTTAGAGGGTGAAGCTTTGGCTATAAAAGGAGAGCTTCAACTCTCATTTCTTCACACCAACAAAGAGAGAAAGAAAGAGTGAGGTTTCACAGACAAGGTATAAGAAAATAGTCTGTGAGGAAAATAGAGAGTGAGCGATATTGTAGTGAGGTGGGAATATCAAAAGAGGGTTATTTCTTTTGAGTGTTGTAGTGGTCTTTGGAGTATTTACCTCCGACCTACAAAGTGTAAAATTCCTTACTATAGTGATATCAGTTGCTCCTCTCGGGGTCGTGGTTTTTTTTCCCTTATTCAGAAGGGTTTTCCACGTAAAAATCTTGGTGTCATTGTTACTCTTTTATTCTTGTTAATTACCGTATCTCGGTGCTACATTATTATTCCGCTTTATTACCGTGAATATTATTTTGGTAAGGGGTTTATTCCCAACAAAACCTTGAACCATTCTCGTAGTTAAGATTTTAGAATTTTTTTTTTTTTTACTGAACTGCTTTCAACTATTGAATACTAAGATCAGCGAGAAGCTTGACACTGCATAGCAAGGTACAAGAATAAGTAGCTCCAGACCGTAGAAGATGTAACAACAACAACAACAATTACGTCTCAGTCTCAAAATTGTTAGTGAGTCCGAACAAGAGCCAAAAGAAAGAAAGTTACATCTTCAAATTGCAGTTGTGAGGCTGCCATCTCCAATACTGGTAATCCAGATCAGGCCGTCCATATTTTTGGCAAGCTACTTGATCTGACATATACGGACAATCAGATTCGTTATACAGTGGATGTGAAGTGTTATCAAAGACCCATTTGCCAGAAGTGTAATCACACGTCTCCAATAGTTCTCTCCGGCCTCCGGACTCCAGTACAGGGCTACCCCATTTAGCTCTCCTTCCGCTATGCTTAACAGTAAAATGGCAGGTACTTGATTTATCCAAAGGCACTATTAAAAAAAAAAAAAAATCAAACATATTCACAGGAAAATCCCATCAGGCCAGCTAAGAAAAACATGAAATTAAACTATGCATGTATAACCCCGAATTTCTACAGAATGCAGAAAATAATATATGGTAAAAATCCATTAACAAGCCCTAAAGAACTTGCTAATGAAAAAAAGGAAAAAGTTTGAAAAGAGAATATAATTTTGACGATCCCAAAACTTTTTTGGGGACTGACCTGGAGGATTTCTTGGGATGGTGAGGTTTTCATTATGACTAGATTTCAATAAAGGTTCTTTCTTGGATGAAAATGTAACACCATTGAAAAAGGGGTCTTCTACATTATATAAGATGAAGAAGACTACGAAGAGGAAAAACACGAGTGTTATGAGAGGATACTGTATTCTGTTCATCAGCCATATCTGCATTGTGTATTTGTGTCTGTAACAATAAGAAAAAGCAATGATTTGAAGACTCTTGGTCGATAACGATTCAGTTAGGCATATTTTTGTAGACAGCTGATAATGATGTTTAAATCAAAGCACGACTAAAATTGATTTCTGCTTATTGTCTATGATCAAAGTATGTTCTTAATGATAATTAAAACCTGGATGTGTCTAAAAAATAGATTGGTCCATCTATTGACTTGTTGATTTGCTTGTGTATTAGAATCTGTTTTTTGTTTCTTTACCTAAGAATTCATTAATCTTACATTCTGCAGAAAAGGAAGAAACTATTTCCACTTTGAGAAAGATTTGGTTTTTAATAGGTACTTGAATGATCATCTTTTCTGAAATCCGAGAGCTGCGTATTTCTTCAACATTCATATATCTTATACTTAATTCCTCTACTGCAGACTTCGCTAAACTACTATTTTCATCGTCTTCTAGTTTGATTACTTCCTCTATAATCTTCTATAGGTACATGCTCAGATTCATTGAAGCAATTTCCATTTTTTGACCATTCCAAATTCATGGCCCCTGCATTTAAAGAAGGTCCTTAACTGATTAAGCAAATCAATCATTGGACTTGATTTTTCCTATAGAAGAACAGCAACAACAGTATCGTGAGAGGAAGTAACGCTAAAAGTAATGCCATGATTGCGTACAACATTAGTGAATAATTAATTTTTTCAAAAAACTTGTAAATCAGATACTTACAATGTGAAGAGCTAGCATCCAGCTGACACTCAATTCCTCATTCCATCCCTCTCCAAGGAAGATGCAATAATAGAGACAAATGAAAGGTCCTTGTACACGAGTTGGAGACACGCTAATGAATAAAATCTCGATACAATTAAAGACGGATTTCAAGCCAATGCTACCAAGTTCTTGTCATCTCATAGCTAAGATGACGGAATCTGAGTACATATTCAACTCAAAAACTTATAAAGACAGATGAGTGAAACGGTACCTTTATACACCCCTTAACTACTGATCACGTGGAATATTATATATCTCCATCAATTATGTAGCATATTACTACTATTTTTGTAACTTACATCTGAGCTTTAAACAAGATTGCAATGGACATAGTAGCAGTATCTATGTGCCAAATCAACTAATGTTTTAGGTATGCTACCTTTCATTCTAGTTGTGGATTTCTGTTTACCACGTTGGTGGCTGCATTTTGGCTAGTGCTTGGTCACCTATAAGGAAACATTGGTCAGTGTTTTTGATCAAATAGTGTTACAATGAACATTAATCCACTATCTTCATAATAAGGATGGGGGGTTAATCGATCAAATAACAATTAAGCACCCACAAAAGAATATCTGGAATATAGTACATATTGTTCTGAGTTTCCCCCTTTCTATTAGACAAGAAAAAGACTGTAATTAGGACATGCTATCAGGATGATGAGCTCCAAAAACGCGTTCAACAGGTTAGAGATCATCTCAACCTTGAACAATATAGATGTTTGAAATATATTGACAAGCAGCAAACTTTAACTGTCCTGTAAAATTATTTAAAGTAGAAATTTGAAATTTGTGCCCCATTTCTACCAATTGCATTTCATGTGGGGTTCTTGTCCATGCTGCATTGTTAGATACTTATAATATGGAATGATATAAACTGAATTTCTTTTCTGAACTCCTAATTTTATCGGTTCCAATAAATTAATCAAATTCAACTTGTTTCTGAAGTACTAGGGCTCGCACTAGTCATTGGATTCCACCTTTATTATGTCTCTCTTTTTTCCTAATGCTATTCTTATATATGATGGGAGAGGAGCAGGTGAATTTACACCCAATTTGAGGGCAGTTGGGACACTTTTAGGTTGAAATATATGGGAGTCTTAGCGTAACTGGTTAAGTGCTGCCATGAGCCGTGGAAACAGTCTCTAGCAAAAATGCAAGGTAAGACTGCGTACATTAGACCCTTGAGGTCCGGCACGTCTCCGGGCCCCGCGTATAGCGGGAGCTTAGTGCACCGGACTGCCTTTTTAAGTTGAAATATCGGGTGCTGCTTAATATATACAATAATTGTAAATCTGGCTGAACTACTTCATACATTTCAAGATTCTATGCACAAAAAATAGATCATTACAATTTCACTCTATTTTCTCTTGAGGAGTTCATGATATAGGCAAAAAGAATCTGATTCCAAACATCAGGCACACCAGGAAGACACCAATGTACGCAATCTGCATAACTTCTTGGATTTAACAATTCTTCTTTAGTTAGAGCAACCCAATTCCTTTTGTAAATTGATGGATGTGCATCTTTTCTATAATCTGATAAATGTGTTATGTTAAGATATTGTATATCTAAACCCCTTTTTTGCAGCCCATTTACAGCTTCCTCAGCTATTTCCATCATCTTTACATCATTTTCACTTCCCCAATACTGTTTTCTTGATATTGGTTCTGTTTCATTATAGCAGTTTTGACCATTTCCCATGCCCCAATCTGTGGCACTGCATATAACAAAACAAAACAAAAAATCAATCTTTCATTGTTTATAAAAGAATTTAGATTTATGTGGACGAACAACTTCGTCATCATTATCATACTTTCTGTGAGGAGGAGAGAGGCTCATGAAAAACAATCTTGTCCTTTTTCTGTCAATTTGAAATTCCAACCAATCTGACCATGTTCTTAATGCCATCTCATACCGGCGCAACTTCATCCCAACCTTTTTATAGATTGCATCAGAGCTTTCAAAAGATCCCCACCTGTGTAAAGTTGGCATAGAAATACAAAAAAGTTCAAGTTCTATACACTGACAGTATCAAAAATATTTACACAATCAAATCACCTATAAAGCGACCTGATAAAAACAGTGACTTAGTGTTCCACTTAAATCCAAATATGAAATGCTTGGTATAGACTGTGAATTCTAAAGGAGTAGTTATTTTCATGGAATAAACTTACAGAAGTGTCATTTGGGATTCAAGCCACCAGGTGAAGGAATCAAAGATGAGAATATCTGCATCAATCCAATTCCTAGCATGCTTTTCAATTGCCTCAATTCTGATAATTCTATCCCGGACACGGTGCTTCACTGGATCATCACAATTTGATTCCACTAGCAATGGTGACCAGTAGAAATCAATTGTTGCATTGTATTCCTTCATAATGTTTAGAAAATGAAAATCTTAGCCACACAGAACAATTATTTCTCTTGAAGCAAGAAAATATAAGCCAGTTGATATTAGTAATATTCTCATCTATTTGAATATACCACCTAACAATCAGGCAATTTCAGCAAAGAGAACTCTAACAAACTCTAACGACAGACAAATGCAACAAATACAACATGACTAACCACCCAAGAGTAATGTGGCCTAATAGTATAACGTGGAACAAAAATAATAGGAGACCAGAGTTCAAATTCCAGTAAAGACAAAAAACGCTTAGTGAATTCTTTTTATTGAAACGGATCTAAACTAACCTTATCGCTTGCTAAATGGTTTATAGATACCCCGTCCATCTATCCGTCCAAAAAAGCACATGACGTTAATTCTAATAATAAAATTGCTCACACGTCTAATGGCAGAACCTCTGGGCCAATTTAATGATGTGGCCGTTTTTTACTAGGCCACGTGGCAAGCTCAGGCTGAAAGCAAAAAATGAGTCTTATTTCGATCCACCTACCTGATCCGACCCTAAGTTTTCTTACCTAGGTCATAAAATTCACATTTTAATTTATACTGGTGAAAGGTAGCCGGTATCGTAAAAAGGCTTGCTTTCCATGGAGTACAAATTGATCCATGAAACCAAGAGCAGTATCTGTAACTAGCAAACTAAATCTTAGATGTTGAGAGAGAAGAGTAATTACCTTGACCTCAAAGGTGATCAAGTTGCCTTTCCAAATAGGTGGTTTAAGAGATGGAATTCCAGAGGATTCAATTAAGCATACCATAGAAACCCATTGGTTCTTATTCAATGAATCTCCAACAAACAACACCCTCTTCCCTTTTAGCTTCTCCAACAATGCTTTGGCATTAAACCTACAATTTCATAACATAAATACAACGACAACCCAGTAAAATTTTACAAGTGGGGTCTGGGAAGGGTAGAGTATAAGCAAACATTATCCCTACTCCGAGGGAATAGAGAGGCTGTGACCCCCAACTCAAGAAAATACATACATTAAAATACATTTTGAGTTTGTACCTTGGAAGATCACAATCATGAGGTTGCCATCTCCAATGTTGAAATTTTGAGTTTTTTCTTCCAAACTTATGACAAGCAAAATCATCAGTCATAAAAGAACATTGTTGTTCTTTGTATAGAGGATATGAGACATTATCAAAAACCCAACTTCCAGAAAACAAATTGCATTTTGGTTTTGGAGATGAGTTTTTTCTTATAGGCTTATTTGCTAGGATTTTACCAGCATTATTACTATCTCCTATAAGATAAAAAGACATAAAAAGAAAGACCAAGAGCAGGATTCCAAAAATATAATGCAAATTATATAGGACTACCCATGATTTATGTACTACTTTTTCTGCACTTGCCATTATGTTCTCTCAAAAAAACTCTTTTAATCTTCTTATGAGGTTACTGATACTTATAGTAAGAAGGAGAAGCAGAGTTGTTGAATTTGAAAGAAATTTCAACTGCTTTTCTTTTCTTGTTTTGTCAGTCTGAGTTAGTAAACAATCTTTGCCTCTTTTTTTTTTGCAAAAAGAAAACTATCACTAAACAAAAAAACAAAACACAGAGGATTATTAAATAAAAATAAAACAGAAGCTGGTCAAAAACTAGTAGTACTATGAACTATTAGCTGTGATTTAGTTGGTTTTATTTTACTTTTTCTGATAAATCATGAAACTACTTCTCTAAATAATTTAATAAGTTTAAGTTCACCTAATCTGTAAGTGAGATTTTTAGTGAATTAGGAGCTCACTTAATCTGATTTTTATGAGTCTGTTTAAGTCTTTATTATCGCTATTACTATGAGTTAATTTAATTTGTTTAAGTTCTTAATTTATTCTGGTATCTAATTAACTAGAAGTGATAAGGACTTTTGAAGCAACGATAAAGTTGTTTCCATGTGATTTATAGGTTCACGGGTTCGAACCGTGGAAACAACCATTAATACTTGTATTAGGTTAGGTTGCCTACATCACATCACTTAATGTGCGGCTCTTTCTCGGATCATGTGTACACGGAATACATTGTGCGTCGGGCTGTCCTTTATATAATTAACTAGAAGACGGAACATGCAGCAAAATGTAATTGTTGTTTCTTTAATTTCTACATGATCTGCAATTTTAGTCTATTTAATTTCTGTTTAGAGATACGCAATCTTTTCTTTCTCTCTCTTTTTATTTTCCTTTCATTTTTAATTTTTTTTCCAGCTAGTTTATTGTCATTTTCTGCAAGATTCTTCCAATGTCTGGCGATAAACGTGCTGAAATTTTGACGAATGTTTGGTAATAATACATGCACATGCATCCACCTCGTAAAATGTACAACCTCTTATGCAGCTCGAGATTAGTAGTTCTCTTTATTCTTTTTTTCTATTTTATTTCTTTTTAGGAGTCCAACATTCTAATATCTCATTAATTAGGATTTATAAGTTTCGTTTCATTAATCTTGTTAATGATGCTCTAAATTATATGTGAGATTTAAAATTCATATGTTTATTCAAAAAGATTATGGGGATTTAATTTCACACGAGTACAAAATTGCAATATGAAAACCGTTGAAGTAGCTAGTTTGACTTAAAACCAATTGATTTGGAATCAATTTCAAATTCCATTTAATCTATGAATATCCAAACGGTAATTAATAAGGTATGGAAGAATCAAATTGGCATATTATTCCATGTAGTGATACATATATATACATGTACATAAGGTGCTAACTAAGGAAAGAAATAAAAGAGATTCCTACAAATCTGCTATCTATATATGGGTTATGTACACTACTAAGAAACAGTCTATGTTCATTGTATAAAGTGTCTAGGTTCATTCTGTAACACTCCCCCTCAAGCTAGAGCATATATATTGATCATGCCCAGCTTGTTACAAAGGTAATCAACTCGAGTGTCATTCAATGTTTTAGTGAACAAATCAGCTAGCTGCTCTCATGTCTTCACGTAGCCAGTAGAAATCAAGTTCTCCCGAATCTTCTCATGAATAAAATGATAGTCAACTTCAATATGTTTGGTTCTTTCATGATACACTGGATTTGAGGCAATATGGAGTGCATCTTGATTATCACACCAGAGTTTTAATGGAGTAGGATGCTTCAACCCAATTTCAGTTAAATGGTGATGTATCCACATTATCTCACATGTTGATTATGCCATAGCTCTATACTCAGATTCTGCACTGGACCTAGATACAACATTTTGTTTCTTACTTCTCCATGATACCAAGTTTCCACTAACAAATACACAGTAACCAATAGTAGATCTTCTATCAATCTTGGATCCAGCCCAATCTGCATCTGCAAAATACTCAATGCGAGAATGACCGTGATTGCTATATAATATGCCAAGTCCAGTAGCTCCCTTTAAGTAACATAGGATCTGCTCCAAAGCCTCTCAATGTTTAACAGTGAGCGCGGACATGAACTGGCTAACCATACTCACTGTAAAAGCAATATTTGGACGAGTCACAGTGAAATAGTTTAATCTCCCAACTAACCTCCTGTATCTATCTGGATCATTAAATGGATCGCCATCATCTTTCCAAAGATGCAAATTAGGAACCATTTAAGTACTGCAAGGCTTGGAAACTAGCTTACCAGTTTCTGCTAGTAAGTCAAGAATATACTATCTCTGAGATAGAAAAATTTCCTTCTTGCTTATAGTTATTTCTACTCCCAAGAAGTATTTCAGTTTTCCCAAGTCTTTTGTATGAAACTTAATATGCAAGAAAGACTTGAGAGAAGATATTCCTACATAATCACTCCCTGTGGTAACAATGTCATCCACATATACGACAAGGAGAATAGATCCAGCTGTTGATTGCTTAAAGAAGACAGAATGATCACATTTTCTCTTTTTCAGCCCAAATTCTTGAACTGCTTCACTAAATTTACCAAACCAAGCCCGGGGACTCTACATCAAGCCATATAAGAATTTTTTCAAATGACAGACCTTGCCATACTCCCCCTGAGCAACAAAACCAGGTGGTTGCTCCATATATACCTCTTCATGGAGATCACCATGAAGAAAAGTATTCTTAATATCCAATTGATGCAAAGGCCAATTCTCAGAAGCAGCTAGAGAAATGAACAAGCGGACAGAAGTAAGTTTGGCAAGTGCAGAGAAGGTGTTTGAATAATCCATCCCATAAGTCTGAGCATACCCCTTAGCCACAAGCCTAGCCTTAAGTCTCGCCACAGAGCCATCAGGATTAACTTTAACCGTAAAGACCCACTTGCATCCCACTACTTTCTTTCCACTGGGTAAATCCACTAAATCCTAAGTGTGATTTTTCTCTAAGGAATGTATTTCCTCAAGCATTGCTTCAGACCATCCAAGATGATTCAAAGCCTCCTTCACCATTTGGGTATAAAAACAGAGTCTAGAGACACAATCAAAGATCTAGATGCAACGGATAAGTGGTCATAGGAAACAAAATTAGCAATAGAATATGTGGATTTGCAAGTACGTATACCTTTGCAAAGAGCAATTGAAAGGTCAAGGTCTTGTGGAGGGTTAGGTGGAGGCAAAACTGATGATGAAGGAACTGCTGCAGAACATGTATCATTCGTCTGTTTCCTCCACGAGTAAACTTGAGTAATTGGCGGTCTTGCTAACACAATTGGAGCAAGTCCTGAAGGCAGAATAGTGGATTGGTGCTCGATAGAACTAGGAGATGGAGGAACATCATCTCATTGTTTTGTCAAAGTACGAGTAACCTGATATACTAGCCAGTCATCTTCCACCCCCTGACTTGTAGAAATGGGAGGTGCATAGAAGAATGGTGTAGTATCTGAAAATACCATATCTATTGACACCAAATATTTGCCACGTTCAGTATAATAACACTGATACCCCTTCTGAAGGCGAGAATAACCAAGGAAAACACACTTCAATGCCTTGGGATCCAACTTGGTAACAGATGGTAGAACATCTCGAACACAACATGTGCTTCCAAATACCTTAGGTTCCACCGGAAATAATGCTTTGTTTGGAAAAAGGACATTGTAAGGCACATTACCACCAAGCACAGTAGACGGTATGCGATTAGTCAGAAAGCAAGCCGTAGAGACCTCATCAGCCTAGAACTATTTAGGAACCTTCATTTGGAACAAAAATGCCCCAGTTGTCTCAAGTAGATGCCTATTTTTCCTCTCAGCAACTCTATTTTGAGAGGGTGTATCAACACATGAAGGCTGATGTAGTATACCATGTTGTCTCATGTATGAGTGAAATAACTCTGACATGTATTCTTTAGCATCATCACTCCTTAGAATACGCACCGAAGCATTAAATTGAGTTTTGACTTCAGCACAGAAAGCAGAAAAGTGAGTAAACACTTCAGAGCGGCTCTTCATAAAGTAAATCCAAGTTATTCGAGAAAAATCATCTACAAAGGTAACAAAATACTTATGCCCAGTTTTGGAAACAACGAGACATGGTCCCCAAACATCAGAATGAACTAACTCAAAAGCTGACTCAACTCGTTTATTAACCCTTGGACTTAACGAGATGCGATGGTGTTTTGCAAATGGACATGACTCACAATCCAATGAAGAAATATTCTAAAACTGAGGACAAAGCTTCTTCAACAAAGGTAGAGAGGGGTGTCCCAATCGACAATGTGCTTCAAAGGGAGACACAACACTAAAGCATACAATAGACCGTGGCTCCTCTTCATCAAGGATGTAGAGATCACCAGATAAATATCCTTTACTAATAACCTGTTTTGTTGTAATATCTAGAAACAAACAATAATCTAGAAAGAATGCAACATAACAATTAAGGTCTTTGGTGATTTTACTAAAAGAAATCAAGTTAAAGGCTAAGTTTGGTAGACTTAATACAGATGACAGGGTAATAGAGGAAGTTGGTTTAACAGTCCCAGATCCAACACTGCTACAAGTTGATCCATCAGCTACAGTAACTGGAGAGGGTGCTTTATGTGAGCGAAAGCTAGAAAAAATATTTGGATTGCCTGTCATGTGATTTGTGGAACCTGAATCGATCACCCATTTATTGGAAGAGGTGATAAGACATTTTTTATCCGACCCAGCAAAGGCAGTAACTAAATAAGATTCTTTAACTGATTTATGATTTTGAAGGAACTTTAGAAACTCATCTGAAACCAACATTGCGGGACTAGGAGTTGTTGCATTATTATTCTTTACCATCATGTTTTCCTTTGAATAATAAACCGATTAAATTAACAGAGGTCCCCAAAGATAAAAGATACCAAAATAGATCTCTGGTAAACACAAAGTCAACAATCTATTTAAAAAACTCCACTCCAATAATTCACTCAACCAAATCAAAGAACCAAACAAATTTGTCCCCAAATCAAATAAAA